AGGGGGTTGCAGGTGCCCAGGGGCAGGAACAGAGCCCGGAGCGTGGCATGGACTGACCGTGACCGCCATTCCCATCTCCCTGTGCCAATGGAGGGCAGCAGGGAGAGAACTGGGAATAGACTTGAGCCTGGGAAGGAGGGAGAGGTGGGGGAAGGTGTTTCTAGGATTTGTTTGACCTCTCATTCCCCTGCTCTGATTTGATTGCTAACAAATTCAATTAATTCCCCAAGTCGGGTCTGTTCTGCCTGTGACAGTAATGGGGGAGTGAGTGATCCCTCCCATCTTTACCCCACCCCAGGAGCCTTTTCTTGTATTTCCTCTGCTCTGTCCAGGTGAGGGGAGGGATGGAGCAGATTGGGGGGCACTTGGTCTCCAGCCCAGGTCAAACCACCACAGGCTGGCATTTTCTTTTGCTTTCTCCTTGTCTTTTCTTTCCCCCCCCCTTTTCCTTCTAATTGTCCAATACTTCTCATTTTCCCCCTATTTTGCCTCTTTTCCCCCTTTTCCTTTCCCCATTTTTCTTGTCTTGTTTTCTTGACCTTTTCCCCTTCTTCCTTCAGTTTCTTTCTTTTTTCTTGCCTTTTCCCTTTTATTCTGCTTTTGTCTCGCCTTTTCCCTTTTATTCTGCTTTTTTCTCGCCTTTCCCCTTTTATTCTGCTTTTTTCTCATCTTTTCTCCTTTTTTCCTTACCGTTCCTTCTTCCCCTTCAACCTTTTTTTAATTTTTCCCCTTTTCCCTTGTCTTTTCCTATCCTCCCTTCCTTCCCCTTTTTTCCTCGCCTTTGCTTGTTTTTCCACTTTTCCCAGCCATTTCTATCCCCTCCCTTATCCCAGCTCCCGGATGCTGCTCCCAGGTGCGTTCCCACAGGTGCGAGGTCCCAGCCCCGGAGCAGCTGAACTGGGGCGGTTTTGGGTGTTTTCAGGGCGATTGAGCCCCTTGGGGTGCTGCGGGTGCTGGTGGGGTTTGGAGCTGTGGGGGGACAGAGCTGGGCTGGGGCTGCTGGCCCTGGGGTTGGGGGGCCTTGGGCTGGGGAGCGGGGCTGGGGGGCTGATGGGGCTGGGGCGCGCCAGGGCCCCCCGGCGGGGCTGGGATTGCTGTGCCCGGGGGTGCTGGGACCGGGCTGGGCTTGGGGACCAGGGACGGGGGCGATGGGGACCTGCCGGTACCTCTGGGGGGCTGAGCTCCGTGCCGGGGCCGGGGCGGTCCCGGGGGTCCCGGGGATCACAGCCCGGGCCGGGGCTGTCCCGGGGGTCCCGGGGGTCGCGGGGGTCCCAGCCCGGGCCGGGGCTGTCCCGGCGGTCCCGGTTCCGGCGGGGCCGGTTCCGGTGGCGCTCCCCGGGGGCGGAGCGGGGCCTGTGGGGCCCGGAGCGGCGGGGCCGGCGGTGAGCGGGGCCGGGGGACCCCCGGGGGTCCGGGGGTGTGGGGCGTGTGAGCCCCCGAGCCGTGCAGGGCCTGTGGGGCCGAGACCCCCGGGCCGGGGGGGGCTCCAGGGCCGCCCAGAGCTGCAGAGGGGCGCTGGGGCACATCCCCCCGGGCTGTGGGGCAGCGGGGCCCGGGTGGGGTGTGTTCCCCCCAGAGGGTCTCTGGGGGCTGTGGGGCCCGTGCGGGGGGTGCTGCCCCCCCCATCTCGGGCCCTGTAGGGGCTGTGGGGCGGGGGGGGCACGTGTGGGGTGTGTTACCCCCAGCCCTATAGGGGATGTGGGGTGTGCTGCCCCACCCCAAATCCCTGTGGGATGGGGGGTGTTACTACCCCCAAATCCCTGTGGGGGGTGTGGCTGTGTTACCCCCCTCTCCAGTTCCCTGTGGGGCACACGGGGGGTCCCTCTCCCAGAGACTGCTCCCTGTGCCCCAAACCTACCAAATTCCCATTTTCCACCCCTTTCTGTCTCCAGGATTTTTCCCAGGACCCTCAAGCCCCAGCACCTCTTCTCTCCGGTTTGGGAGTGTCCCCCCACCTGTGACACCCCCCCAAGGTACCTGACACCCCGGGGACCCCCCATTGCCACCAGCCCCTTCCCGCCTTGAATCCCTCCCATCCTGGGGGTCCCCAACCCCACCAGGGTCCCCCCCCGCAACCTCTTTTCCTGCCCTCTTTGCCCCCCCGGCGACATTTTAAACCCAAATTGCTTCTTTTTTCCTCCTTTTTTAGGGAATAAAATTCCTCACCTGCACCCCTGAGAAAGGGAGGGGGTGATGCCGATTTGGGGGGCTGGTGGTTGGGATGCTGGTGTTCCAAGGCACCCCATGGCTCCAGATGTGGGGGTGGAGGGGGCTGACGAGGGCTCTGGGGTCCCCAGGATCTCACTGCCCCCCTCATGCCCATATTTCCAACCGATCCAACTGGACCTGCGTTAATCCCATTGGATCTGGGTACCCACCGTGTCTCTGAGGGTTGGAGAACCCAGTGCCCCACAGCCCCGGTTGCTGATCCCCCCAGATCCAGACTGATCGCACGGGATGTGGGTTGATCCGTGTCCCCCACATCTCCAAGGTGTGACACCAGTTTCTCCCAGCTAAAATTCCTCTCTTGCTGCCCAATATCAGGATACCTCACATCATGAGCCTGTTTTGGGGTGTATCCACCCACATTTGGCATTCCCAGGGTTTGTCCCTTCTCCCCCCCTTCCCATTTTTCTTTCCCTCCTCAGATGAAAACCTGGATCAGCAATTCGGACCAAAACCTGGAAGTTTCCATCCCGTTCCTGGGAAAATACCACCGACCAGTTTCGGGGCGCTGCTGCCAGAGCTGCACCCCCAGGAGCTGGGTGAGAGAGTTTGGGATCGGGGGATGGTGGTGACAGGATCCCTGTGCCAAGGATCCCCATTGCCAGTGATGTGATCCCGCTTTTCCTCCCAGGATGGATTCTATGCCGAGGATCTCTCTGCTCTTGGATTCCGTGACGTCAGCCGTGTGACGGAGAGGGACACACGGTGAGGCTGGATCAGCTGCGTGCTGGAAAACCCCTGGGAAACTGCCCTTTTCCCCAGATTTCCCCCAAATCCGCATGGGAATCCCTCTCCATCCTCCCCGCTCCCAAATTATCCCAAACCGAGCTCCTGAATCGTATTTTGGGAGGCTGGAAGTGGCATCTGTGAGGGCTTGGGCTGTGGTCCAGCCATGGAATGGAGGATTTGGGGTCATGCGTTGTTTTCTTGAAGCCAAACTTGGAGCCTTGATGGGAAGAAGGTGGAGTTGGGGGATTGTTCTTCTCGCTGGCTCCAGCCGGCATCGCTTGGAGTGAGCCTGGCTGCCTGGGAAAAGGGAAAAGAGCCACTTCCTAACCCTTGCTGCTCTTCATCCTCCCCTGGAGGGAGGAAAACCACCAGGAAAATAAAATTCTGGGTATCCCTGCTCTACTCTGGCCAGGAGCTGCTCCGGAGCCATTTCCAGAAATTTTTCATTCTGGAGGTGCCGGATCCCTTTGGCTCCTCTCCCCTTTGGGAAGAATCCCTGGATTAACCATTGTGTGCTGTTTTTTTATCCCACATCAGATCGTTATCCCCCATTCAGCTCCAAATATTCCCAGCTCCAGCTTTGAAACCCTTAGACGAATCCCTTGGGATCCCAGGGAATGCAGTTCCCCCGTCCCACTCCGTCCCTTCCTGCACGCTCTGGGACATCCCAAAGCTGCGTCCCACCCCCCTCTCTGTGGATTTGGGGAGGATTGGGAAAATTATGTGATTTGGGATGGCCCGAATGCCAGGTTTCCTTCCTGCTGGGTGGCCTGGAGCATCACCTCCAAATTCCTAACTGTAAAACGGGGATAAATCCCAAATCCAGAGAAAGAGGCATTTTGGGGGGTGATCCTCCTGGAGAAGCCCCCCCTGCCAAGTTCTCCCTGTGTGTCCCCTCCAGGTTCCGGGGGTGGCTGGTCCGGAGGGTCTGTGGATTCCTGGCCGCCTGGGAATGGGAAATTCCATCAGAGACCCCCAGGGAGCTCCCAGGGAAGATCTGCAGCAGCAGGAGGTGGGTGGGAGCACTGGGGGGATCCTGGGATCACCCTCAGCCTGGGAGGGGCAGGCCCCTATTCCTGGGGGATCCTGTTTGGTCCTTGGCTCCTGGGTCAGTGGGATGCCGGGAATGCCCCCGAGGCTCCCTGGATCCCTCCCCAGGGATCCCAGGGTGCTCCCCGCTGCCCTTCCCCCCAGGGTGCAGGATGTTGCCACCAGCCGGGCCCATGGATGCGGAGGGGATGAGGGATCCCGGGGGCACTGGAAGGAGGAGATCTGTGGGATCCTGGGGGAAATCCAGGCACCGCTGTCCCCTCTCCTGCTGAGGTCAGGGATCCTTTGGGGAAATCTTCTGGGATTCTGTGGGGGATGGATCCAGATCCTTTGGGAGGTCCTCTGGGCTTCTGGGAGGATGCACATGGCTGACTTGGGGGTTTTCTGGGCTCCTTGGTGGGATCTTGTGGGATCCTTTGAGTAATATTTTGGGATCCTTTGGGAGCTGTGCGTGGATTCTTTGGCCAGCTGCCCTCGGGGTCCTCCACAGCTCCTGGGGCCATTCTGGCAATTCCTTCCGAGGAGCTGGAGTGGGAAAATCCAACCCCGCCAGGAGGGTGGGAAGCAGAGGGAGCCTTCCCTTCCCCACTGCCTTCCCCCTCCTGTCCCTGAGAAGTGGGAATTTGGGGCTTCCTTGCTGGTCTGATCCAGCGGGAATAAATGATCCCTCCAAGGCCTTAAAGGGAAGGAATTGCTCAGGGAATAAGGGCATGTTGGGATCCTTTTGGGGGGAATGCAGGGATAACTGCTGGCAGCTGTGGTTGCCAGGGGAAAGGAGGTGTCTCATCCCATCCAACCTTTGCTGTGTGATAAAAGTGGGCATTTGCCTTTGTGGGAGCTGCGCTGGGAATTTTGAGGCCGGCTGGGTTGTGGGAAGTGAGGCAGGGGAGGCAGGGGGGTGAGAGTGTTTGGGGATTGGGGGCCGCCCCATGGCCGTGGGGTTGCTGATTGCCAGTTTTCCTGCAGGCTGTGCCACTGGATGCTGCCCAAGCTGCTGAGCCGTCTGTTCCTGGGCGTGCAGCTGCAGCGGGGGCAGCTGGAGATGGTGCTGCGGGCTGCCAGGACGGTACGGAGCCCGGCCGGGCGCTCCCATTGCCCAGAAGGGTGGGAATTCAGGCCGGGATCGTTCCTTGCAGCCCGAGGTGCCGCTGGTGTTCCTGTGCAGCCAGCAATCCCAGCTGGATGGGCCGCTCCTGTCCTTCCTCCTCCTCTCGCAGGGCATCGGGGCCCCCAGGGTGACGGTGGGTGCCCGGATCAGCCCTGGCCTCCGGTAAGGAGCGGGGGTGGGATGTTGCCAGAGGCTGCAGGGGGATGCAGTGTGTGCCCACGGTGTCTTTGCCCCCCAGCTCCCTGCTGCAACGCCTGGGAGGGATTTTCCTGCCTTTGGGCCTGGCGCAGCCAGGGAGTGAGCGGGATGAGGGGCTGCCGGGCGCTGTCCTGGATGCGGTAGGTGCGGTTGGGGCTGGAAAATGGCCTGGAGCGCTCGGGGAGGTGCCGGCAGCTCCCAGTACTCCCAGTGTCCCCCCAGTACGTGCAGGAGGTGCTGCGGAGCCGCCAGCCCCTCATCATCTTCCTGGAGGAGCCCCCGGGTTCGCTGCGGCTCTGGGATCCCGCCCGGCGCTGGCTGCTCCGGGTGCTGCGGGCGCTGCGGGACGGAGCCGTGCCCGACGTGCGCGTCATCCCGGTGGGAATCGCCTACGACGTGGCTCCCGGCGGAGCGGGGCGGGATGGAGCGGTGAGAGGGGGCCCAGGGGGGGCACCGGTGCTCGCCGGAATCTCTGGGAGTATCCCTGGGGAGTGGTGTTCCCCCACATCTGTGGGATTATCCCTGGGGAATGGGGTTCCCCCAAAACTGTGGGATTATCCCTTGGGAATGGGGTTACCCCAAAACTCTGGGAGTATCCCTGGGGAGTGGTGTTCCCCCAAAACTCTGGGGTTATCCCTGGGGAGTGGTGTTCCCCCAAATCTCTGGGAGTGCCCCTCAGGAGTGGGGTTCTCCCAAAACTCTGGGAGTGTCCCTGGGGAGTGGTGTTCCCCCAAATCTGTGGGATTATCCCTGGGGAATGGGGTTCCCCCAAATCTGTGTGATTATCCCTGTGCAATGGGGTTCCCCCAAATCTGTGGGATTATCCCTGGGGAATGGGGTTGCCCCAAAACTCTGGGGTTATCCCTGGGGAATGGTGTTCCTCCAAATCTCTGGGAGTGTCCCTCAGGAGTGGGGTTCCCCCAAAACTCTGGGCGTGTCCCTCAGGAGTGGGGTTCCCCCAAAACTCTGGGAGTATCCCTGGGGAGTGGTGTTCCCCCAGAACCCTGGAAATATCCCTGGGGAGTGGTGTTCCCCCAAATCTCTGGTGTTATCCCTGGGGAATGGGGTTCCCCCAAATCTCTGGGAGTATCCCTGGGGAATGGGGTTCCCCCAAATCTCTGGGATTTCCCTTGGGAATGGGGTTCCCCCAAAACTCTGGGAGTATCCCTGGGGAGTGGTGTTCCCCCAGATCTCTGGGAGTATCCCTGGGGAGTGGTGTTCCCCCCAATCTCCGGGAATATCCCTGGGGAGTGGTGTTCCCCCAAATCTGCGGGAGCATCCCTGGGCAGTGGCATCCCCCTAAACCCGCCGTCGATCCCTGGATCCCGTCTCTCCGCAGCCCCCTCAGCCCCTCGGGATGGCCGCGTGTCTCCGGGCAGCATTCCAGGCCCTGCGCCGGCCCCGTGGCTGTGCCCGGGTGGATTTCTCCCAGCCCTTCTCTTTACGGGTACGGCAGCTGGGGACGCCCCCGGATCCATCCTGGCACTGGGGGACTGTTCCCAGGATGTTGGTGGGTTTGGGGTGTCTGAGGGTATCCAGTGAATCCATGGTGGGTGATCTGGGCTCCTCCCAGCCCTGGGGATGCAGGGATCGAGTGAGCTCGTGGTGCTGAGGGCTGTGAGCACCCACAGGCTCCTTCCTGCTCATTCCCAGGAATTTGTGGAGAACAACCTCGTGGGGCCGATGCTCAGCGGGAATCGACCGGAGCAGCTGCTGCTTCCCACCATCCTTGGCACGTGGTGAGGAGCTGAGCCCCGGGCAGTGTTTCCCCTGGGATCTCTGCTCCCAGCTCCTCTTCCTCAGCCCTCTCCCCCCGATTTCCCAGCGCGCCGGATGTGGGGAATGTGGGCACTGTGGGTGCCGGTGTGGGGACAGAAGAGGAGATTTTGGTGACGGCGCTGGGGCTGCACGCACTGAGCGGTGAGGGGTCCGGGTGGTCCCTGCATCCCTTGGGATGGCATTCCCTGCTGGGGAATGGGGGTGGGGGTTAATCACCCCCTGGATAAGGAGCCCCTCTCCCCCCCAGCAGATTCCAGCGCCTGCTCCGCCATCATGGCTGTGGGAATCACCGCGGCACTGCTGCTCCACAGGCACCGGGAGGTGGGATAAGGAGCTTTCCATCTTTCCCTTCCCTCAGAGCAGCATTCCCAGTGGGGATCCCCTTCCTCAGAGCAGC